AAAACTTGTGAGACATTTTATGGTCATCTATGATGCCATGAAACAAAAAAAGGAGAATTAGCATCACATAAACTGTGCCTCACAATGGACACTTGGACAAGTATTCAAAACATAAATTACTTGGATGTCACGGTACACTTCGTAGATGGTGAATGGAACTTGCATAAAATAATTTTAAACTTTTGTATCATTGCTAATCATAAGAGGAACTTAATTGGTAAACTCCTTGAGACTTGTTTGCTGGATTGGGATATGCAATGACGAATCCAGGATTTTATGTGTGTAGAGGCCTCTTACAAATTATAAAGAATCAAAAGTTCAAACTCACAATACATACGAAAAATAGTATATATATCACATATGTCAAGAATTATATTGCTTGTTGGTTGCAATCATAATTGTCCTTGACAAAGAGATAGACAAATACATTTTAAGCAAGAAAAATTGTAAGAAATAGACAAAGAGCAGCGATTTAGCAAATATCTTTAAAGCTTTTTTCCCCATTAAACCCAATAGAAAGAAAAAAAATCAAAATTTCACAAACTAAAAAAAACCTTAGGTCCCTTCATGCATTCATATCGTATTATCATACATGAAAAAATGTTTTATGTAAAAATATTGACTAAGTATGAAAAATGGTTTTTCAAAATAATCATTTTCTCAAGATAATTTTTGGCGGCTTTCATTCCTTACACATCAAATAAGAAAACTTGATTTTATGGGATTTTAATATAAAGTATATATTGACTTAATGAACCATCATTTTTAGCCTAAATCGTATTTTGCACTAAAACCGATTTTTCATATTTTGATTTGGTGGGAATTTGATTTTCTAGTATTTTTATTTGAATCCAAATAGGGGGTACTTCCTTATTTACATGTAAACTTAAGTAAATGGAGTAATATAAAAATAAATTAAAGTAAAAGGACAAAGACATTTACTTAAATGCTGAAAATGGAAACAAGGTAATCTGTACACCTGGAGTGCACCACCACCAACTGAGCAAATGGGCAATTTGAAGCACCTCATTGTGCCTTAATAGATCCGCCACAACACACTTTAGTACATATCAAAACGTAAAGTATTTGAAATAATATACATATAGTAATACATAACAATATATTACTTTTAAAATATATAAAAACTTGAGTGGGGGCCCGGGACCACACTGGTCCCAGTGTGGCTCCGCCCCTGGGGATATGAAGAAGATACTAACAATTACGGCTGATAATGCTTCTTCAAATACAAAGGCAACAGATTACTTGGAGTCAAAGATAGCTCATTGGAGAAATGATAGTCTTGTGTTAGGGGGAAAAATACATGCATGTTAGGTATTGTGCTCATATTGTCAATTTGATAGTTCAAGATTACGTGAAAAAATTAGAGAAAAGTGTATTGTCAATAAGGAATGTAGTCAGGTGTGTAAAATCCTCTCCACAAAGGTTCGAGGATTTTAAGACTTGTGTTCTGAAGGAGCAAATTGAATGCAAGAGGCTTGTGGTGTTAGATGTACCAACTAGGTGGAATTCCACATATATGATGTTAGATGCCGCTTTGAAGTTTGAAAAAGCCTTTGTGAGAATGATAGAAGAAGATGATGGTCCATTTATATCCTGGTTTGGTGAAGAAGAACCGGTTGACGAAGATAAGGTGGTTGCATCTCATAAGCCTAAAAAGAGGGCAGGGTCACCAACTAATGAAGATTGGAATAATGCTCTTACCTTTGTCAAATTTTTAAAGATATTTTACGAGAGGACATTGAATATGAGTGTTTATTTGCATCCCGCTTCTCACACCACCTTTCATGATTTGATTGTAATGGAGGGTGAAATTGATGATTTGTTCTTAGGAGAAGAGCAATTCCTAAGTGAAACTCGCATCTCCATGGTTTTAAATGACATGGCGCATAGCATGAAGATGAAATTTGAAAAGTATATATTGGGGTGATCTTGATAAATTGAACAAACTTTTGATGGTAGCACTTGTTCTTAATTCTCGATACAAGTTGGGGAACTTAGAGTTTGTATTGAAGTAGAGTCGGTTTGAAAAATCAGAAAATGCTATTAAGAAGAAGAATGAAGTGAAAGAGTTTTTAATAAAGCTTTATGAGGAGTATGACATTTCACCAATGCCTATCATTTAATGTAGTAATCCTAGTGCTAATAGTGGTATTAGTTGTACAAGTAATGCTACTAGTACGACTATGATAAATTCTAGCCTACAACTAAGGGGAAGGAAACAAAGGTAAATGAAGGAAAGTTGGATAAAAGAATCTCAAGCAAATGACATTGTGATATTGAAGCATGAGATTGATAGGTACATAACCAACCCTATTGAAAAAGTGGTTTCCGACTTCGATATTTTGAAGTGGTGGAAATTGAATAAGGTTAAATATCCGAGTTTGACACTTATTGCAAAGGATGTGCTTGCCATCCATGTATTAACTGTGGCTTTGAAATCATGCTTTAACACGGTGGTCGGGTAATTAATTCATTATGTGCTTCTTTGACTCCTAAGATTGTGGAAGCCTTAATTTGTTCTCAAAATTGGTTAAGGTATGTTGACATCTTCTCTCTACAGTATGAGCCAACTATTCAAGAGACGGAGTTTTATGAATTGGTTGAGTCAGGTATTTGTTTCTCATTTTATATGATTTAAAGAGATATATATATATATATATACACACACACACACATTCCTTTTCTATTGAGGGACACACTTTAGGGACCCATACGAAATTTTTTTTTTCAACGATCCAAACCATATATTTTTAAAGTCTACATTCATAGGTCATCCTTTCAAAAAATTAGACATATTAGAAATCGTTTCGACATCCAATTGTGTCATACAAAATCAGTGAACATGATATTTCAAGAAAGTACTAAAATTTCAATATTTCAATTGAGTCAAATGATATCGGATTCAAGTGATTTTGTGTAGAGATAATCTTTGAATGTATATCTACAAAATAGAATGTTTGGATTGGTGAAATATAATATAGAGTGGCCCTATAAGGGTGTCCCTCAAATAACTTATTTGAGGGATCCCCCAACTAAAGCTCCGTGTATATATAGCATTTAGACCTTCGCTAATTACAGAGGACAAACAGAGGGGAAAAAAAACAGAGGACAAACAGAGGAGGGAAAGGTTGGTATTGGTATGTTCACCAACAACAAAAAAAGGTTGCTATTGGTATAGACCTTCGCTAATTAATATATGAGAATGAGACTATTCGAATGATAACTCAAGTGTTCCAAATTAACTGTTTGGATTAAATTGGACCAAATTAACCATTGAATCAAATTTGACCAAATTAACGATTAAGAGAATGAGGCTATTTGAATAATATCTAATTGGTTAGTTTGAGTCGGTGCCACGTGAGATCATAAAAGTGTGCCAAATTACTCTCATTGTTGTAATGTTTTGAATTTTCGATGATACTATGAGTCTGGATTTTGATTTTTCTGTATTGATATTGTGCAATTATGTCAAAAACCATATTTTATGGAGTTCCATTCATTAATGTGGGACTAGGAAAACATTGATAGGCATCCTAGGAACACCAAAGAAGACAAAAGGCAAATAATTAAGATTTCAAACGTTTGCAGGTTGCTAATTGACTAAGACCTTAAACATGACAGTTGGAAGGGAAAACAGTAATCTATAATAAATTTCATATTAAAACAATAATCTATAATAAACTTCCCCGAGTCTTTTTATAATAAATTCGTCCTTTCAAACAATAACCAAAGCAAAAGTTTTAGTTAATTACCAATAGTCAACTTAGCAACTCTTCCAAACAAGCAAATGATCAAGTTAAAGATACTAGTCCAAGTTTGACATCTTCGAAGCACAAATTTATGTTTCTTTCTTTGTACCAATTATGGATTCGAATTGAAGAGTATGTATCCATAATTGAATCTACTAATACGAGAAGCAAGGTTTGCTTAATTCTTCATCACCAGATCATCACCCATAAAATGTCTGAGTGACAAATCATCCCAACATATATAAAAGAGTTCCTGAAGCTTAGGTACTTCATTTAGGCAACCCAGTTGATACTTCCTTTGCCTCCTCTACCTTCCTTGGTAAATACCAAATATAAGTTAATACGGTGCTAATCATTTGTTTGGCTCACTTCTTAATGTGACCTCACAGTTTAATTCTTAGATCTTTATTCTCTGCAAAATAAACTGTCAAATCAGAATTTGTTTAGTCAAATAAATATACTTTTGAGATTGGTATAATTTGTTTAGTCAACTAGTAAAATATTTATTTCTATATCATTATTCCAGTACTTCTCTCTATCTCCACTCGTATTTGGTTTCTCACTAAAAATTGGTACTTCCTATTCTCTCCCACCACCTCCCCAGAGACTCCTATTCTGCCTCCCACAACAGCCGATAAAGCCAAATGTGTCTCCAATGTTTTCCTCTGGACTCTTCTGCGACACATGAAGCAAGAGCCACAGAACCCAAATTTTCAAAGCCTTCTGATCAAGACTCTTGAAAGACTGAAACCTTTTAATCTTCTCAACGGAAAAAATTGACTCGGACCCTACCAATAATGGCGGAGAAGCAAGCAAACCTTTCTAGCATTCAGATTCAGGAACCGGCGTCACTGCTTGCATTGAATCTTGAAAACCAGCAGAACCCTCTTCAAGTGTCACAGAGTCTTCCACCAAAGTAGAATCAACCCTTTCTTTCACAATCATCCAGAGTCTCAACTCCTAATCAGTCGAGTTACAAAGTTCTCTAATTGCACTCCATCCTAGATAACCTACATATCAAGCTCAAATTGATACACGGCAAACACCACAACGTAGGGAGGCAAACACACAGTGAATAGATTGCTGAGACATTCATATTAACCTTGAGGTATGTATGGCCTCTCAATCACATGACATACGAATTATGATAATGCATACATAACAATCACCAATCATAATGCACATACAAATGTTTAAATGAAAAGGGAAAAGAAAATCATACAATAGGGATGTTCAACATGATAATATATTAATGACCAGAAGATACCTTTTTAAAAGGACAAAATCTCGGTCAATATTTTTAATAATGGAATATAAGTTTATAGAAACTGTAAAGTTCAAGTCCAGGCTGCTTACATAAATTTACTAGTATTTAGGCAGCACAACAATCACTTGTTCGCACATACAAATACCAATCCTTTTCCAGCATCTTCGATCTAATTCAGAATATATTTCTCTCTCTCCCTCTTCAAGCTTCACCAAACTGGACCCCAATTAATTTTGACCACAACATATATTCCACCAGCACACCACAAGATTCAAACAAAAGATGATTGTCAAAATAGGAGGGAGGAAGAACAGCGAACAACATCTGGAGCCATTACATCTGCCCCTTCCCAGTAAACCAACACTCTCAGGCAGCAGAAACAAAGAGTTGTCTTGGTGGCCTTTAAAGAACAAGTGCAATTGTAATTAGCTGAACTTGAAGAAGTTAGCAGAGTCCATTAAACAGGGGCACAATCCAAAGTGTGGGTGAAATGTTTAAAGAGTAATGTTGTGTGATGGTTTCATCCTCTAAATTGAAAATGCCTATAACACTTGGTCTGCTATCGCTATCAGTATCAGGTACACGTGCTCCTCCCAATTTTGTACAATCATCCATGTAATATATGGAATTGGGTTGGCACCCAGGAAAGTTTGAAGCCAAAACAGAGATACAATAATCGTCACCCAGGAACATAACCTCATCCCCAATACTTTTTATTTCAACATGCTGCACAACGGATCCATCCCTCTCATTGAACACCAACTTGTAAACCATGAATCTCTCAGTCCAAAACTCTTCATGGTAGGCACCTCCGTCAACATCTTTCAAAAATCTTCGAACATGCAACAAGTCTCCATTGGTTGATTCCACGAGATAAGCTTTATCAGCATAATGCGAGAATGGACATTCTTGTGGGTTAAGAATCTTTGCTTCTATTGGCTTGCTATTGATATCAAAGGAAAGAATGTTTCCCCACTTTCCAACTGCAAAGACTTGACTTTTATGAAATATAGCATCAGTAAGCAAGCACCCTCTTAAACGCTTGCTGTAAATCCAAAACTTTTGTCCTCCTTTAGTGAAAGCCAACTCAGAAACATGTTTGTAAATTGCTACAACCACATAACGGTCTGGATTCAATGTGGGATCCTCAGATAAGATAATCTTCGGGAGGCAAACCTCGCAGTACTTACGGAGGACTTTGAAATCCAAGCGAGGGAGACGAATGGGCGCCACTGCTTTTCTGAAAGGGTTCACCAGAGTTATAGTCAATCCACCTCTATCTAACACATCCATTGTCGCCAACCAACCATGGCCATGGCTAGAATCACAATACCTCTTACTATTACAAGGCACTGGCAATTCAATGTCGTAGATTTTTCCTGCAGGGAAGCTGTACAGTTTTCGCTTTCCTTCACATTCTGTTGGAACCAGGAGCATGGGGAGTAGCTTACGCCAACGCTGCGTTTTGTGATTGTATTCTTTTGCAAGAACACACCATTCTTTGCAAACAGCAGCAAATCGAATATGGTCAATGGGTTCTACCAACCTATCCAAGACCAAAAAGAGAACGGGCAGAGGAAGACTTGCCCATTCTAATACTTGACTGCTACTCATCCTCAAGCCAACATCCATATTCCTATGTCTTATGAGAGACAGAGTGTATATATATATGCATATATGAGCAACAAAAGAACACAAAAACAATAAAAACGAACATTTACAAATCTCCGATCTCAGACCACAAAGATGTCTCTACTTCTTGAGATATAAGTTCAAGAATCTTACAGGTCCTTAGCTAAAGAAGTCAGCATGGTCGCCATTGTCACTAGCTCGCTGGTACACAAGCCACCTCTTTCTGTCTCTTTCTCTCTCTCCCAACAGCTTGGATCAAAATTTTCTCATCCAAATTATCGAGAATGAGGATGCGAAATTCAATCGAACCTCTCCGATTCCTTGTGGAAAATGGTTGACTTTACAAGGGCTGGTCATCAGAACCAGAGATTTGATTTTCTTCTTGTTTGGCTGTTGGATGAGTTTTGAGTGAAGTTTTTGGTTCCAACTTTCCATTCTGAAGGCTTTTGTCTTTTTTCTGTCCCGATAGAAAGCAAAACCTAAAAAATGATTTTAATGTTATTTTGAATTTTTGTTTAATAAAATCAAACAGAGTAACATTTATTATCGAAATGGGGATGTAGCTCAAATGGTAGAGCGCCCGCTTTGCATGCGGGAGGTACAGGGTTCGATCCCCTGCATCTCCATTCCTTTTTGTAGTCAATTCTTATTTTGCACTAGTTTTAGTTTTAGGGAAGTGAGTGACCATTTTAGTCTCTATTTTTCACACTAGTGAGTTCATGACTATTATATGGACAACAAATAAGGGTTTTCTTTGCCCTCCATTTGGGCAACTGACCATTTAGTCTCTATTTTCTAAAAATTGACAAACATATTTTTAAAGGTATACAAATTTTTAGATGGGTTAGATCATGAAATACAAGAATTTTGTTTTATTTAACGAATACTCTAACTTTCTAGATATAAAAGTTTATGATAAAATGGCTCGTGCCTCGTTATTTTAGCATAAAAATAGATTAAATAAATAGGTTTAGAGAGCCTCGCGTACAAGAAAAATAGAGGTCAATAACACTATAATTTTAAATATTATTTTTATCAATTTTCAAAAGACAATAGCTAAACTGTTATGTATAGACACGAAGCTTTATGAGTGTAAATTGTAATTCATCCTTAATTTTCATTCAATATTTGGTTACAAGAAAATAAAAAAAGTTATTTTAAAAAAAAAAAAAAAAAGAAGAAGAAGAAGAAATAGCCATGAGTGACAATGAAACGACAACGTTTTCGTCAGTTTCAAACTTTGGTATCTTCCTAACCCAACGCCGCCTCTACTTCGCTCCATGGTACCACTGTTTTCCCGTGTCAGCTAAACTCATACGAAATGGCGTCGATGATGGCATTGCTAAGGAGCAGCAGAGGAAACATGGCGTGCGTTTTCGGCACGAGGAGGTGGAACCACGTCGCAGCCATGCCTCCGCCGTTCGATGGAGTCATGGAACGTAAGATTTTATCGCTTCAGTTGGTTCTGCCCGAGTCTGATCGGGACCCAGCGCAGAATAACAACATCGGATTCGGGTTCCCCAGTTTCTTGTTCGGTGGATCGATGGAACTCATGGCTGTCCCCAAGAGAAAGGTATATGTCTTTATATATTTAGGGATTGAGATTTTAGGGGTTTTGGAAATTATTTACTGTATAAAACTTTTTTTTTAGATCAATAACAATAATAAATTCTTTTCTTTTTTAATACTGAAGTTTATTCTTAATTGGGTATGTAAATCCCTGTCCTTTTCTCTTCGCTGATAAATTTGTTTGCCTTCTGTATGATAGAATTGCTCTGTTCTATATTGGGCACCATTTTTGAGCTTGCTTCTCTGAGTGTTCTCTTTCATCACTGTTTATGAAGATAATTAGTATAGAGTGCTTGTGCCAGTAGAAATTAGAGGTCAATTTTCTGATTTGGCCACTGATTGTCATTCTTGAAGGTAATGTCCCTTTGTGTGAATGAATGGTTAATATAGTTCTGGCTCATCATCTTTCTTAGATGTGTTTTGTTTCCATGTTTTTCATCACCTTTTGAAGATTTACAATTGAAGGCATCATATGGCCTATAAGTCTGAAGCTTCATTTAATTTTTTGTTGTCATTGTGCTATTGTAATTGAAGTTTTAGAAGATGTGGAGTTTTGATATTTAAGGCTGGATATCGTGCAGACTTCTCCCCACAAGAGAGGCATAAGAAATGGCCCCAAGGCTTTGAAACCTGTTCCAGTGATAATCCGATGCAGGTTAGTATTTTGTAAATTATGACCAACACAGCTCTTGGTCTAGTTGTATTTGTTTTGCCGATATTGGTTGAGGTCCCAAGTTCAGATTTCCCCTTTCAATTCATCACAACAAAAAGTGTTTTGTAAAGTATCTAAGATTTTTCATTTCATTGGAGAAGTTGATGCATTCCAGGAAATACTTATGATATCTTATTGATAATTTAGTTTTGAATATTGTCTTAGTTAGAGAAACAACCAAATTTTGGGGGATTACTTCATTAATAATTTTTCATCCTTTCTAGCCCTGCAATAGAAAAAGTCTGGTATTCTGACACTTCCAGAACAATTGAAGTTTCTGGTTAGTCTTTGATCAATGTGTTGAGCAGATGAAATGATTCCGTTTTTCAAGATAATGTTCATTGTATTACCGGGGTGGCAGCATTGAATTAGAAAGTTTTGATGGGAAGAAGGTTGTGGGCTTTCATAAGGAAAAAGAGAGATTAAGAAAGCATGGGAAAATGATATTTACCAATTGAGAAAAAGCATGAAATTGAACAACACTCAGATGTTTATATTTTATTGCTGAGAGAATGCTTTGGCTTACTCTTTTAGTCTCATGAAGTAAATCCAGTATGTTGTATAATTTTTTTTGGTTATACTTATTATGTAGATGCTTATATATATAGCAATAAAACGTTCATTTTGATTTTGACTGGTTGCAGGGCTTGCGGGCGTGTTAAGCTGCCACACTTTTTTTGTTGCAGTGGAGATCGGGGAAATGGCCATGAGCGTGATGGCTCAACAAGTTGAGATTGAAGTTGCTGCGATATAGAGCACCCAACTGTAGTAGACTCGTAGGATATCTCAGATTTTGAAGAATTGAAATGAAACTTTTCTTTTGCTGCTAAAAATGAGGCTCTCTGTTGAGATTGTTCTGTTTCCCAATCTATGGTTTACTATCAAATGCTTCTTATTGTGCCAAAACTAGCATCATTGAACTTGTTTACCGCCTAGCAGAGGCTGCCTTAATTCTTTTTAGAATTTAATAAGCATAAATAGTGCGAAAAATTGCGTATATATAGTTGGTCTTACATTCCTTAACCTTTTTCATAAAATCAATGAAACATATTATTTCATTTTCTCTATTGGGTGTGCCTGTTGTTAAGCTGGTGCAACCAACATTCCTGAACCTCAAAGAAATTTAGCTAGGAAAACCTTTGGTGGGAAGGGAAAGTCGGGATAGAAATAGAGGCAGAGGCAAGGTTGAAGAACAATCGCGAGCACATGTGAAATTACAGAAAATGTAGCAAAGGAATTTAGAACGGCCATTTTCCAAATTAAGCAAACATCTTATAATGAAATCAAGATAGGAACTTATAACAAGCCCTCATTAGAGTAACAAAGTCCAAAAACACAAGATGAACACCACACCACACTCAACGCACATAATTTGCTCATTAGTATTGTAAATATAAAAAAAATGAGATATCACTTAGTACAATCAAATAGTTCTTCATTCCTCGTATTGAACGCATCGTGCAAATCATTGAGCATTTCATCCCAATTCTCCTCCACATGCTGATGAAATGAGTATCCATCGACATGAAGAACCAAAATGTCCATACCACGAAGAAATTCAGGAAATTCAAAACCCTCGCACATAAATTTACTAATATGAGAGGCAAGATTTGATATTTCATCGTCGTTCTCATTGAAACCAGAACAATATCTGGCGTCCAACATCACCAGATCTTTGCATCAGCACAGCAACATGACAAGACTACCCCAACTAACTTTTGCACCTTTCAAAATTAAGTACTTGATATTAGGCACCAACTTCACAATTGAGGATGCCTCACGTCCATGAAAATTAGCCTTTGGACACAGCTAAACCATACAAATTCTTGCAATGTGTTTGTATAATTGCAAGTATTTTCGCCAAATTAAAGCATGAACCCAATGATAACACCTCCAAATGTTTCCACTTGCCAATCAGCTCTAGGTTCGTGTGTTTGCTGTCCAATGCATCTCCTGGTAAACTCAAAGTCACAAGGCCAGGACACTGCACACATTCCACAACAACAAAAATGCTACATTTACATTTACAAGGAAAATTAAACTACACTTGGATTGGAATTTTGAAAATTAACTTAAATGAGAAAACTTACACATTTGCAGCAAATTCAAAGGCTTCTACTGTGCATCATTTGGGAAGCTTGAGCACTGTAGCATTTCCGCTGCTCCGATTGATCACAAACTTTAGAAAAGCAGTGACAGAGCAACGATCCCCATCAATTTGATACTCACTCGCAAATGTGTCCATGAGATTTTGAAAATTCGGACATTCAGACACATCCCAAGGCCAGAGTTCAATACATTCGCAGCGTGAAGGATTGAGGGTCGCCTTGTACCACGACTTGCACACAAAAGGGACATCCAAAAGCAGTGACTCCTTTCCAACTTTCTCCAACACTTTGACCAAGCAGTCCATTTCCAAGTCCTCCCATCTTCGTTCGTCCATCTGCAACAACGATTTAATATAACTACATCTGTATACAACAAATTAATTAAACACCAAATTAAAAGGAAAAAAAAACCATAAATTTCAAAAGAATACAAAGAAACCTGGGAAAACAATCATATGGTAATCTTTTTCCTAAATAATAAGAACAAACAAGATAATTAATTGATGGAGTGTTGGATAATTGTTCATTCAACAAGCACTTTCTGCATTCCAACAACAAAAAAGTAGGAAACTAGTTACTAATCCAGCAATGATATAGAGGCACTACTTCACGAGGAAGCAATTCTAGTATTTCCTTTTGGAAAAGCGAGTAGGGCCTTCGTTTTGTTTTGTTTTTTTTTTCAAAAGCAAGAGACTCTTTAGCACCATCTACTAAGCTAAAGTTAAGAAGGACTTACTAAAGCAAGCAAGGCCATAATTGTCCTTTCACCAAACAAATCATCCTTATCACCGAAAGGACTTTCCACATTTCAATGCAGTGCATTTGTTTCGGAGTCTGACTAAGCACAGTTTGATTAACCAGACCAAGTGCTTGGAACTGCCTACCAAACTGAAACTGATCAAGTTGATGAAGGAAATTTGTACTTTTTTCTTGTGCGCCATGTCTTCAATGCGAAGAGAGAAGAGAATAAGGCGGAGTTGGCAGAGGGGAGGAATTGTCGTCGTTTTCGTTGGTGTGGTGAGGTGAACATGTCGTTTG